TTGTTATACATTTTTCCTCCCTGGCCACTTCTTCCCCCCTCCCCAGTTTGCTTTTCTCTTTGAGAAGAAAAAAAATTCTTTCACTGTTATACAATCCCCCACTTCACTATGCAGCTCTTACTCTGGACTCTTGTCATGCAAACAGTACCTAATCATATATCCCTTTTAAACAGTTCTCTCCCTCATCTGTTTCAATGCAGTGTACTTTATTTATCCCCTCTTACCTTAGTTTCCCCCATACCTGATGTCAGTCCTGTTTTATAACAGTGGCATTATACAGTGTTTGTCCTTTTGTGATTGAGATATTTTTCACTCAACATAATGTCTTCCAGAGTCACCCATTTTGTATAATATTTCACTAGTTCCTTGTTTTTCAAAGCTGCATAGCATTCCATTGTGTGAATATACCACCGCTTCTCTATCCATTCATTTGTTGATGGGCACTTGGGTAGTTTCCAACTGTTTGCAATTGTGAATAAAGCTGCAGTAAACATGGATGTGCATATATCTGTTTGGGTGGTAGTTCTGGTTTCTTTAGGGTATATTCCCAGTACTGGAATTGTTGGGTCAAATGGTATCTCTATTTGCAACTTTTTGAGAACGCGCCATACTGCCTTCCACAGTAGTTGCACCATTTTACACTCCTACTAACAGTGGATAAGGGTTCCTCCACAACCTCACCAGTTTGTTATTCTGTTGAATTTTGCTATTCTTACTGGGATGAGATGATATCTCATAGTTGCTTTGATTTGCAACTCTCTTAAAGCTAGAGGTTTTGAACATTGCTTCATATGTTTGTTCACCATCTTAATATCTTCTTTGGAGAAGTGTCTGTTCATATCCTGTGCACATTTTGCAATTGGGTTGTTTAACTTTATTTTCTTGTGGTGCTCAAGTATTTTATAAATTCTAGATATAAGCCCCTTAACAGGCATGTCATTACCAATTTTTTTTTCCCAGTCTGTGATTTTCCTTTGTACACTGCTGGAGAAGTTTTTGGACATGCATGGGGATTTGATTCTTAGAAGATCCCATTCATCTATTTTGTCCTGTCCTGGTTGTAGGTTTTTCAGGATGCTTATCAGACTGTTCATGTAGTATATTAGGGCTTTTAGAGTTCCTCCAAGCTTTTCTCTAATGAAGTTTATAGTCTTTGGTTTTAGTCCTAGGTCCTTGATCCATTTTGAGTTGGTTTTTGTATATGGTGTGAGGTGTGGGTTTTGCTTGACTTTTCTGCAAATAGTTTTCCCAATTTTGCCAACACCATTTGATCAGGGTTGGGGGGAGACTGAGAAAGATGGGATAATTTATGTATATAGTGCATTGAAACAGCTAAGGGAGAGAACTGTTTGAAGGGGATTTATACTTGGGTACTATTGTCATGACAGGAATCCAGAATGAAGGCTGCATAATGGAGTGGG